GTGCGGTGGCCGGGCCGGGCTCTGCCGCCAGTGCTGTTCCGGTGCCCGCGGGCCCGGCCCTGGTGCTGGAGTCTCCCCGCCAAGGCCTCCCTCCCCTGTCCCCGGGGTCGGGCTGTGGTGCCTGCTGCTCTCGGCCTCCGCTGGCCGCTGCTACTCCACTTCCGCCTGCTCCTCACAGCGTTTTGCCGGGCAGGGGTTGGGCCCTGCCTGCGGGCCCCAGCCCAGCCCCGCCCCGCCCTCGCAGTTCTTCTGGCTTCCGTTTTAGCATTTTTCCCCCAAGTTTCTCTTTGGTACCTGAAGGGGACGAAGTCTCTGCCGGTCCTGATGTAGTTGTATTGTCACATTTGCAGCAGGACACCTGGTTCCCGTGCGTTTTTTACCACCCCCCCTAAACAAGACTTCAAATACATCCTCGGCAAACATGAGACACAGTAGTAAAGAAAAGCGTTTTCAGCCGCCTGTGTTTTATGCCCTTCTGGTCTTGCTCTCTCATGGGATGCAGTACCCATCTTGTGGCTTAGTAATAATACTGCCCGTTTAGGTGTGATCCCACATGCAACGGTAAGATAGCCACGTACCGTACAGCTGAAACAGGCAAATCTAAACAGCAAAAGCTTTTAACTTTGTGGACATTCTCCTTCCTTGTGTCCTGTGGAGGACCTCTGTGGCAAACTGTCGGCAGAGTGTCTTGTTGTGGAATCAGAGGCTGCTTTGGTCTTTTGGTACCTGATAAAATATGTTGAAGTCTAAATATGCCGGTATGATATTGAGGTGCCTCTTTAAGACTTTGCTATATTAACTACTTTGCTGTCTGTTATGACTTGTTTGACTGATTGCTTCTCTGTTGCTCAGAGTTGCAGCCATGTCTGACAAAAGTGAATTGAAAGCAGAGTTGGAGCGCAAGAAACAACGCTTGGCTCAAATCAGGGAGGAGAAAAAGAGAAAAGAGGAAGAAAGAAAGAAAAAAGAAGTAAGAATTGAATGTTCTTTTCTGTATAGATCATACTTCTTGTCTAGATTTAGTCAAGAGGGTCTAACATCCTGTTTATAATCAAACTATTTCCTTGTTAGTTGTTTGTTTTGAACCTCTAGGTAGTATTACATCCAAACGTAATAATATTATATTCGTGTATGAGAACAGATACAAAAAACCTTGTTCTGAATTGACTATGTAAGCAGTCTACTTGCTATTTATGTGAGAAATCCCTTTTTAAAAAAGGGAATACTCCCTTTTAATAACACAGAAATCAAATAGCAAGGTAATTTCTCCAGGGTAGTTCTCACTATGTCCCTCTATATTGTTACATTGAGTCTGTGTGGTTAGGTTACCACATGCTACCAACCTAATAGTGTCACCTTTAATTTTCATCCTGAATTGTTCAGTCAGCACGATAATCAGAGCACATCTTCTACGTGTTAGACTCAATCAGTAGCTGGCAAAGAAGTCCAGGAAATTATTGAAGTGTATGGTCAGTGTTGATACTTTGCAGGTTTCTACTGAGAGCTGCTTCCGCACATTGGCTCCAAATCAGCAAAGCTCTTGAGCATGGGACTTAAGTATATGCTTAAAGCTAAGTGATTTACTTAATCAGGGCCCTTGTTCTTGTCTTTTCCATGCTTGGGTTGTAAGCTGGCAGGAATCTCAAATTAGCATGTGGCTGAGCAACTGCCAGCATAATGATTCAGACAGTAGAAAAGAGAGATCTCAATATATGATCTATATCTCAGGGATCTTAGAGCAATGTATTGTCTCTCTGTACTTTCTGAGAACCATGTGTGATGTAGTAAGCACATCCTTGGGAGTGATGAAGTTTGGGAATATCTTGATTTAAGAGGAATTGTATAATTAAGAGCGTTGCATATATGCATATCAGGGTAGGAAAAATCTTTAACCAGTGTATACATAGGAAGAGAATAAGATGACCTAAGTTTTTTTTCTAATTATTTTAAGGATTTCTATTTCATGATTAACCACTCACCAGAAAAGTGGTATTGATAGAGTCCCAATGATTGTCTTCTATGAGTTACATGAATTTACTATCGAGTATGAACACCTTGAATTATTATTTCTTTAAATCTGAGAAATATGAATCATACAGTAGATTTGTATAAATTTAGGGTAGTGCTAAAGGTTCTCATTGTCACAAGAAAATTACTAATTTTTAGACTTCTCCTCCCCCCATGCTTCAGTGACTTGCTTGAGGATAACTAATTGGATTTTGGCTTCAAATGATGATAGAGGCTGAATATGATTTAATCCTGCATTTCACTGTGGTCCAGACAGTCACCTTTTGGTTAGGATAAAACATTTAGATATTTGTTTCTTTTTTTGTTGGAATTTAGTTTCATTTAAAAAAAAAATAAAATGAAACTAAACATCCTATTGTTCAAATTTGGAATGAAGGGGTAGGTGATCATTCAGTTTTTTGCATTCTTACCTTTCCTTCATTTCATAAAACCTCTAATATCTACAATAAATTTTATTTGTAAATGCCATCCACATATACTCCCTAGAAAGAACAGAAGCTCTATATTCAGGCCTTTGGACACATATACAGTATGTTCTTCTAATCTGCTAAGCCTTTAAATTTATACCAGACATGGCAGGGTACCCTGTTTGCCATTCAGGTTTGTATTATCTTTCTTTAGAACGTTTACTGTCATTTTAGGATTTTCTGAATCCTATGGTGACATCCTAGCTTTAAAGCAAAACCTTGGCTTTGCAAAAAAAGGGATAATTATTGGAGAGGAGTCCTTATGACTTAGTCATTATCCAGCCACACCTTCATTTTAAAATGGTAAACTTTATTCTTGTATACTACATCCTCTCAAGTGGATGATATAAAGTGGTGATAGTTTAAATAGCTTGTAAAAGTAGTTGTAGCATCTTTTATCTGTATATTGCAGACTTATTTGGGGGTACAACTACATTTCTAAATTCATTAGAGTTTTTACAGATCATCATGCCATTGCATTTTCTCTGTAGAAAGAATTGTCAGAAACACTAAATTAGACCATCCCAAGTTACCTCCTGATTTATAAGCATTAAGAGTGGCAGGTAGGTATATTGACTTGTCAGATATTGTCAATTGACTACATGTTTTTCTGACCAGTCAAAGATTATAGCAATTTTACAAAAAACCTACATTTTTTATAGTTTAATTGACATAAATACACCTTTAAATTTTTTTTGACGCACTTAATGGAAAATTTGGACTTTATTTTTTTTTTTTTTTTTTTTTTTTTTTTTAGACCTATTGGCAAATGTTTACAATATTTGACCAGTTAACTGACTGAACTGTATTTAACTGGTCAAATAACCAACCCTAATAAGCACAGAAAAATGCTTTAAATATGTTTTCACAGGAAAGTTTTTAATGTCCAATTTAGGTTCTGTGATATTAGTTGAGTGATTGTTCCTGAAATTTTTTTTTAAGACTGACCAGAAAAAAGAAGTTCTTCCTGTACAAGAAGAATCTGACCTTGAAAAGAAGAGAAGAGAAGCTGAAGCATTGCTTCAAAGCATGGGGCTAACACCAGAGTCTCCTATAGGTAAGAATATTAGTATCAGAATATTGGACAAATGTCCTGCCCTTCTATTCTATTTTTAGGAATGTGACATTTGCATACACTGCATGACAATTATATGGCTGACAGTTTTGGCATGCATGTCTCCTTTGTCTTACCATTATTTGTCCTGCAAAGTTTGCCATGACATATTATCTCATGGCGTCATGTGTCAGTACACATAATTTAAACATTTGACTTCTTTTTTGTTACACAGTACTACTAGTAAAATGTTGAACTCTATCTGCCCAGTACTTTAAAAAAAAAAAAAAAAAGAGAGAGAGAGACATAAATTTAAAATATCTGATGTGGATTTTAAAACTGAAGGCTACATATCCAGAGTAATTGTCCTTCAGAGTACAAACACAAGCAGACAACATGGAAGTTGTTTTGTTCTGCATTAAATAACATGCTTTTTGTTCTTCCTGTTTTCCCCAGAGAGATTCAGTCTTATGTTTTTTCATTTTCTCTCGGGCTACGTCTTGGCTAATTCCCCTCATCGCCACACTTTAAAAAAATACGGTAAAACCCGTGTTAAATGGGATTTTACTAACCGGAAAACTCTATTAACAGGAATTTCCAGCTGGGGGCAGGGAGAGAAGGCTCACACACCTGATCAAGTCATGTTGAGTTGCTGTATTTCATGGTGTATAGGTTGACGTGGTGTATAAGTCGGCCCCATTTTTCTGATCCAAAAGTTAGGAATTTTGTAGATCTGGTGTATAAGTTGACCTATCTTCGCATCAAAAATATGGTGTCAACTGATACCAGCCCCTGTGCACTCTCACTGCGGTCTGGGCACCTGAGGGTGGATATGTGCTGCAGTGCTGCTCGCAGGGGACAGGGGTGGGCTTGTCGCTCAGCTGGCGTGGTCCTGTCACCTGCAAGCAGCACTACCTGGGCTGCATCAGCTGAGCGCTGAGCCCTGCACCGCTCTCGGGATGAGGCCACACCAGCTGAGCGCCCAGCCTGGCACTGTCTGCTGTGAGTGGCACTGCCAAGCCCAGCCCTGTCCCCTGCAAGCAATTTGGGCTCAGCTGGCACAGCCAGGCTCAGCACTCAGCAGTGCTGTTCACAGCAGACAGGTCCGGGCTTGGTGCTCAGCTGGTGTGGCCCAGGCAGCACCACTCACAGGGGATGGGGCTGTGCCAACTGAGCACAGCCCCATTCCCATCCCTGTCCCCTGCAAGCGGCACCAGGCTTGGTGCTTGGTTGGTGTGCTCTCATCTGTTGTGAGCGGCGCTGCCTGGCCTGGGCTAATAAGGTGCTGAGCCCAGCCATGCCAGTTGAGCACCAAGCCTGGTGCACTGCTCGCAGGGGACGGGGCTGAACTCAGTGCTTGGCAGCACTGCTCTCAGCAGACAGGGCTGGGCTCAGCACTTTGCTGGCGTGCCCCCATCCCCTGCAAGTGGCGCTGCCTGGGCTGTGCTAACCACCAAGCGAGCACCGAGCCCAACGCCATGCACAGGAGACAGGGCTGGGCTGGGCTGAGCTCGGCGCTCAGCAGCACCACTTGCAGCAGACAGGGTTTGCCGCAGTCTGGGCTTGCTGCTCTCCAAACTCCTGGCTGCATTCCTATAAATCTGATGTCGGATTGGTATTGGCCTATATGGCTGGTTAATAATTTGCTATCAGTATTGGCCAAGAAAATCTTTATTGGTCTACCCCTTGTTCCTTTAAAGAAAAATGGTGTGCTAGATAATTTGAGGCAAGCATTGATATAATCTTTCTGTTCACATGCAAGAGGAAGTGGAGTTCTTATTCCAGATACTATTTTTAATAGCATGGGATTCTCCAAACCCGTGTGTTTGACATTCCATTTAATTCTGATATAAAAGACAGTTTACTTGGGGAAAATCCATTAAAACTTTACATCCTAACAGTCCAGGTTTAGGCATCCTTATTTGGTTACTGTCCTGTAAGCTGCTTATGTATTTATTAAGTATGCATCATCCTATGAATAGGGAGATTTCTTAAAAATAACTTCCTCCACAAGGGGGCATTGCAGTATCACAGACAACTTGGGAACAGCTTCACAAAAAGCAACTCTTTGTGCCACTTTTAAGGATTCCTTGCACCAGTCTGTTTACGAACTCTCCTCTGAGCTACAGTTTTCAATAGCTCACTTAGAAACTAGAAGAATCATAACAATTTTATTCAAGGTCTTAAAAGTACTCCTTCTCTTCATATCCATTTACTGCAGGATTGTAAAATAAAGAGGAAAGGAAAGAGAATAATGACCTGCCTAAGCAGAGTGCTTACGAAAATCTACTGGCATATTGGAGAGTTCTCCTATTTAAAAAAAAAAAAAAAAGAAGAAAGAAAAGAATGAGGGGAAAAGAAGAATTTATTTGTATTTATTGTGAAAAGGCATCAGAAATATGACAGACAAGGTTCTTTGGGTGAATCTGATATATTTTATTAGACCAACTTAAATAGTTGGAAAAAATTTTAAGCAAGCTTTTGGGTTCGAAAACCCTTTGTCAGGCTGAGGAAGTTTCAGCAGTTGATGTGTGCTCTTCCTGGATGGAATGAAAAGTAAAGAAGCCAGAGGCTGGGGTGGTAAGCATACAAGATAGGCAGTCAGTGAAGATGTAGATTGGGGAGTCAATGGGTGAGAGAGAGGCTAGGTGTCGGGGAGGGTAGGAGGATGAATAGTGGAGAGGTAGGTACTTGGGGAGTCAGATGTCAGGCAGGTTATAATGTGTCATAAATCCAATGTCTATATTTAGTCCATGGTTTTTAGTATCCAGGTTGATGAAGTGGAGTTCATAGTCTCATCTCTGGGAAGTGTTTTGTAAATTTCCTTTGAGTGTTAGAACTAAGAGATTGGAGAGAGAGTGTGGTTTTCTAGCGAGAAATGTGCCCCCACAGGTAATTGGGTATTCTTGTCTTTGATGGATTTCCAGTGTGCATTCATTCTGGTGTGCAGTTGTTGTTTGGTCTCCTACATATTTTCCATCAGGGCATTTGGTGCATTGGATGAGATATATTACATCTCTGGAGGTGCAGCTATAAGATCCGGGAATGCTGATGGCTCTGTTGTGGGGTGTAGTAATTTTGGGGGTGGTGGAGATGTGTTGGCAGGTTTTGCATTTCTTGTCATGGCATGGTCTGGATCCATTTGGTGTGTTCTGGGCCTGAGGAAATTTGCAGAAATATGAATAATTTATCTTAAATTCTGATTCAAATCTGGGGATGAGCAGTGTTTCTAGAATGTTGAGAGAGATGTTTCTTGAAGGTAAAAGCCATGATGAATAAACTTGTTGGTCATCAGTTTTGAAAAGTACCTTCCTATTTCATTAAACAAAGGCAGTGTTTTGTTCCCTGCCAGTGTTAAAGCATAACCCCAGCTCCTCTGCCCCCTTCTTTTGGCACTGTTATTTACTGGTTATAAAGTTCCAAGATGAGATTGAGGCCCAAAAAGGGGTGCTTTTGCACCTGTCTAAAAAGAAGTTGCTCTTAAACTAAGGATAGTTTAACCTGATTTACCTTTTTAGGCTGGATGAAGTGAAGCCACTTCTAAATGAAGCATGCTGTGCTTACATAGAATTAGATCTGGATTTTTCCATAACTGCTGATGTCTTAAACTGGGGGGCATAGAGAAGCTACGTGGTTTGACTTTAGTCTTTGCACCAATCTTTGCTGTGCCTCTTAAAAAAATAAAATAAATTGGTTCAGGTAAAGTTTAGTTAATTAACCCTTATCTGTAAAGGAATAAAATCTTTTATTTTTTTGCAGTTTTCTATTCAGCAAAGGATTCCTAAAAATGAAAAAGTATCTTTGCTCTGCTGTAAGCTATTAGATCAAAATCTGACCTAGCTTGCATTCCATGTATAATACCAGTGTCTTTACTGGGTATGTGCAGGCTGCAAATTGGAGCACAGTTCAGCCCAGAAGATCATTTGAAGGATAGATTCCATTCTTTAATTGACTTGGGAATAGTTAGGTTGTAGTTAGGCTTATTATTATTACCCCTCCTATATCTGATTTTGTTTGTACTCCCTTTCATGAGCCTTTGAAATGGTAAACAATAAACAGTTGTTTCAAAAACCAAAAGAAATCCTGGAAAGCTACCGGGGCGGGGGTGGAATATGCATACTGTTTAAATAGTTATATAAGACTGTTAATAATTTTGTGGTATCTAGTTCATTTTGGTTTTTCACATTGGTTAGCCTTTAGTAACTTGGTGTAGTACAGTGCAAATCATAGCAGCCAGACCATCGATTTATTTCTCACTTAGCATCTGAAAACAGAGCTAACTCAGTCACTTAATTTTAAAGAAAATTTTAGTTTGCTTTATTAAAACTTTCTTCCTGCATGTTTTATTTTAATCTTTTCCTTAGCTGATCAGTGGGCTGTAATAAGATCATACAAGATTAGACTATAGGGCTTTTGGCAGTCACAGTATAGATTAGCCAGCAGATGGCAGTGATGACTCAATAAAAATACACCTGTTCAGCAAATATAACTAGTTGGAAAATTTCTTGACTGAGTGGTTTTTCTGGGAAAATACAAGTTTCTAAAAATAGGAACCCAACATAGAAATATATTGGTTTTAATGAAGGCTTTGGGAAGGTTTCTCAAGATTCTGGATGAAACTTTTAACTGGGACTGAGGCAGGGAGAGAGCTCAGAATTGCCAATAACTTTGTAGGTGAGGGCAGCTTCCTGGGATGTGGGAGATGAAGGCTCAAGACTCTGCTCCGCCCCTTTTGGAGCACAGACTTCTATGTAGATCTCCCATATCCTAGGTAAGTACACTAGGCTGTTCTGGAGGTATGTCCATTTGTGTTTTTTTCTCTCTTCCACCCCTCTCTCTATTAATCTCAGTATGTTTATCCTATACTGTGTTGGAATGAAATCATTCTGAATTTTTTTAATTTTACAAAATGTTTTCTGGGTAGTTTTAGAAACAAGTAATATAAAGCAGCAATTGACAGTAACATATTCTTCAATTGTTTATGAGGAATAAACACTTTCCAGCAAAAGAGAATTCTTATGTGGATGTATTTTGCATGTGACTGAAAAAGGCCTGTAAAGAACTTTGAAGCACTAGTAGACTGTTAAAGTGTAAAGATGAGTTTGGTTCTTACAAGTATAGATTTCCAGGCTGAAGAAGGAAAACAAAAACAGTTTTGTATGGTATTTAAATTGCATCATAACACTCTTCATTATGCATCAGTTCCAAAAGCATGTTGTTAAATTCTGTTTTCAGTCTTCACCCAAAATGCTTCAAGTAAACTGACTTCTTGGGATATGTTTTCAATATAACAATATTAAATTTAATAAAACCATATTGGCTCCAGAATACCAAATTTTGAAGGAAAAAGATTGATTTTCATTGTCTCACAACAAAAGCTTAGATTAGAACATTATATAGCAAGACATATTTTCATAACTGTGATTTTGAAGCAAAGGCAAATTGAGTAGAATTTAAACTATGTTCAATCAACTGTTCAATTTATGAAAATAATTCTCAGTGCTAACATAACACAATCTTTGATCTCATTTGAAATGAACAAATTATAGGTGGGGGAAACTATCCTTTGAAGTTAGTGCCAGCATTCAGTAAAAATCAGTTTTCTAAAAAATAAAAATAAGTGTTTTTTCTTTTCCTTTTTTTTTTCTTCTTTTTTCCCCCCTTCTCTCCTTAATATAAGCCCCTGTTGCATTAAATGCCAAAGAATTGCATGAGTCTCCAGCATGGAATGTTAACATTGTCTTTTCCCCTCTTTTTCTACTGTTCATTTTCATCCATGTATATTTTGTTTGCCATCACGTTTTTTTTTAAATACTTCATGTTAAATTAATTTGGAAACATCCTAAGCTGTGCAACCTCTACGAGTAGTAACAGCGGATACCTGTCTATTTCACTATCTAGTCCCTCCTCCTATGTCTCCATCTTCCAAATCTGTGAGTACTCCAAGTGAGGCTGGAAGCCAAGACTCTGGTGACGGTGCTGTTGGATCCAGGTATGATTACTTTAATAAGCTATCGTTTGAAATATCTCTGGGAACATTTGTAACTTGAATACAGTTTAAAATTGATGAATGTCTGTGTTACTCAAATTAAGATAAAACACTTGAAATGTGGACTACTTAATAACAGAAAAAATTATTCTAGAAAACTTATTTTATCCTCAAATTCAGGTGACTTATCCTGAATTGGATTTTATTTTAAACACTTAATGCTGTAAGTAAATGTTAAAATAAGTGTGAATTACTTTTAACTGCAGCCATATGTCTTATGGGACAGTAGTTCAGAGTGACTCGCAGACTGGCTGAGAGAACATTGCCTGAAAGAGGTCTTCTCCCTTGTAATTCTCCTTTTAATATTTGCTCAAAAAATCCATCCTGAGAGACTCATTCCCTGAACTTTTACAGCAAGGGTGGGCAACTATTTTGGCCAGAGGGCCACTTAAGGAGTTTTGGTGAGCTGTTATGATGGGGGGATAAGGGGTGCTGACCTAGCCTACAACAGCTCACCAAAATTCTCTAAGTGGCTATCCGGCCCAAATAATTGCCTACCCCTGGGTAAAAGGAACCTAACCTTTGTTTCCCCCCTTCTCTCTGCACCCTCTCCCCTGCCCCGAGTCCCCGGCATGTGGCTAGGCTGGACCAGTGCCACACTGTTCCTGCGTGCCACCTTGGGTATTGTGAGCACAGCTGATGTGGCTCCTGCCCAACCTGACTGTGTGCCAGGGACTTGGGGCAGAGAAGGCGGTGCAGGGATAAGGTGGGGAACACAGTGCAGCACAGGCCCAAATAACCCATGGATCCTGGCCCCCTTCTCCCTGTACCCCCTGCCCCACCCCAAGTGCCAGCATGCAGTCAGGTTGGGCAGGAGCCACCCCAGCTGTGCCCACAGGGCCTAAGGCAGAGTACAGGAACATAGCATGGCACTGGCCCTGACATGGGGTTGGAGAAGGGTGCAGGGAGAAGGGGGCCAGGAGCTGCAGGTTATCTGGGCCCAGCTAGGCTAGTGCCACACTGTTCCCGCACTTCTCCCTGAGCCCCCAGCATGTGGCTGGGCTGAGCCAGTGCCACGCTCTGTTCCCGCGCACCACTTTGAGCCACATGGGTGCAGCTGGCGCGGCTCCTGCCTAATCCTGCCATGTGCCAGAGATTTGGGGTCAGGTAGGTACCACTCCAGCTGCGCCCACATGGTGCCATGGCCTGACAGAGTGTGGCCCTCTTCCTCCTACAATATCTCCCCTGCCAGTGAGGAGAACCTTACCTGAGCTTTGACTCACTGGGGGCTGGGTTGTCTGGTCTGCAAACAGCCGCATGGTCAGAGCTGCATGTAGACAGCCTCACTGGGCAGAAGCCTGGCCAGGAGCTCAGTGCTCCCTCCCTGCCTTGGAACTTATGCTGGCCAGGGCTGGCTGGGCTGGAGAGGGGAGTGGCTGCTGCTGCTGCAGCCAGCTATGGCATGGGTAAGGGAGAAGGTTGAGTGGCACTGAAAGCCAGGGCAGCTATGGGCCGGATACAGTTCTCCTTCAGAGGAACAGCTGCGGTCTGGATAGAATCATTTGGCAGGCCAGATCTGGCTCTCAGTCTGTATTTTGCCCACCTATGTTCTACACCTACAAGTACCCTGCACAATAGGCTTCAGCAGCTTATAAGGCATGGAAATAGAGCATTTTCTCTATCTTCCAGGTGGCATAGCTGAGGGCTAGATAAATTATATGATAACTAATATCATGTTGCGAGTCAGTGTTTGAGCAGGTAATAAAACTTGGCCCACAATAGGGGAATTGGAAGAACTATCTCTGACTGTATATAAAATGCGTAGTCTTGGTGAGATATCTCGCATTCAAAATCTCTTGAAGAAGGATTTTCAGAATTCAGAAATAGTTTAATCGGTCACTGCTAGAGAGTTACGTTTCAGAGGTCTGAACATATATTAATACACATCAGTATCTGGAGGATATGGATATCTGAATTGTTTTGATGATGGGCTGAAAATGCATCCTTTTCACTTCAGCATGCTGCTGCATTTCTAAATTAAACTGGCCACAAGTTTAGTTCTTATGCTGCAGCTATCTCCTGGTTGGTTTAGCTTCTCATCTAGGCTGTCTCACCTACTTAATAGGTAATAGGCTGGTTTCAGGCCTAAGCTCTACTGCTGTTTTCAATTTGCCTAGGTTTTTCTTTTGTCCTTGTCATCACTGAAAAAATGACTTTCTTGTTTTATTGGAGTTTGTCTATATTTCTTTCCCATTACAACGTTTCTCACAAATGGTCAGAATAAAAATTCAGTGCTGTAGAGATCAGTTGGAGGGTCAGATATTAAGTGCATTCATATATGTATTAACGCTGGGAATATTTAGTTAATATTTATGAATTGCTCTTAAGAGGCTTGTGAAGTATTTGCCTGGAGTCCACAAAAGCTTAATCAAATATGGAAAAGTAGGGACTGCTGTTTGTTGAAGCAGATGGATAATGCATGCTTTAAGACGTTACATACTTGGAGAGCGAAAAGAGCAGTATATTATGTCATTGTGGTCACAAAGAAAGGGCTGAACTATAACCTCAAAATGCCATGTTGGTTTCAAAAGAACATCTCTGAGAGAAACAAGTCACCAGATGGTGCAGGGCTTGAGATGTCACGGTGATCATAAGAAGTATAAACTTAATGAAAAAAACTGCATAAAGAGTGACAGGAATTAGTTGAAGAAAGTCTGTTTTATGTGTGCTCATAAGACTCCTTACAATGTGATTAAAACAGCATGTGAAAGATTATATAAGTAAGAAATCCTTCATGTTCAGGAAAAGAAGGTAGGATTTTTAACATGAAAGCACCTGAAAGGATTTCTGCCTTATGGAAGGTAGAGTATATTTAAGATTTTGAAGTGTTGGATTAAAGTCACTAAATTTGATTCCCACTTGACATTGTTGATAGAAGGAAATGGTTCCCGAATTGATTTAAAACGGTTTATTTTTGACACGTAAGAAACCCCCAAGTTGCAAGAAATAAATAGAAAAAATTTCTAAAGTCTTAGGTATTGAAAACTTGCTAGGACTGACTTATGCATAGTTTGATTGCTTGAAAGTAGTCAGTTGCTTTACACTTCCAATAAATGAACAACTTTCAAATGGCACTTGCTTCAAGAAACTGTATTTTCAGTGCCTTGTACATAAACTGTTGGAAGCCACTTGGTATCTTTAGGAACAGTAACATGGGAACAATTTCATTTTCCTGAAACAGAAGGGAGAAAACTTTTATTGACCTAGTATATTAAAATATTGCATACTATTTTTCAACTTCTTTTACTAAACAAATGAAATTCTTACAAAGTATGGTGGGATATAAAACTTACTAAAATCAGCAGATGTTCTCTTATTAATATTTCATGTATGTACATTTGAAACTAACGTGTTATATACAAGTAGACAGCAACACTGAATGAAGCAAATTCTTTTCCAGACCAGACTAAAATAGGAAGTAGAATGCGTCTTAAAGTGTATATTAGATCTTATAGATCACTTATATTCCAATATGCTTAATATTTCGAAAGATCATGCTAGCATAGAGTTTGCTATTTTCTGAGATCTGAATATTTTAGACTGTGGTGGTTTTAAATCGGATGACATTTATAAGCCCAAGGCAGTGCTTAACCCATAATTACAGCAATGTCAAATCTTGGAAACTCTAGCAGTTCTTTATCCCAGTGGAAATGCATTTTGCTTCTCTACCAAAAGGTTTATGGGTTGACTCATTTCCTTTACCAATATGACAATTTCCTTCACATATTTAATGCTGTGGGCAAGATTGCAATATGTTAACAAATCTGCCTTCATATGACATAACCAAATCTGTATAGCCTTAAAGTCGAGTTTAAAGTGTGATTCTTCTTAGCTGTTTTGAAATAGATGTTTGCTTTCATTCAAGCTACTTGTGTCTGCTATTTTGCAATTCTTTAACTTACCAACTCTGAAAGAATTGAATGCATCTCTAATTGCTCTGAATTGTCTGTTTGTGTTTTAACTATTTTATACTTATGCCACATATTATAGCATTGAATGTTTGCTGAATTTCCACTAACTGACATTGCATTATTTTGTTTCTTTAACAATAAAAAATAACTATAAACTTACAATAGCTTTAACATTTCGTAGTATGTATTTGCTTTACTAATCTCTGGCCTTTTTTGCTAATGCTACATGGTTGTTCTTCAACCTGTGGTGTCAGGACGCTGCATTGGGATACTGATCCATCAGTTCTTCAGCTTCACTCTGATTCCGATCTGGGGTATTGCATAGATTTTATTATTCCCTCTTTTATGTATTTATAAATATACATTTAATATAAGAGCTCAATTTTGGGGTTTTAACTTTTAAATTACTCTTAGAAAAATGCTAGTTTGGGAAGTAATTGAAGTCCCTGATCTTAGTGCAGTTGGTCCACAGTGGTCAGTTTTGATCTTACTGAAGTTGTAAGTGATCACTTTCCCCAACCCCAGTAATATATTTTTTTATTATCTACTCTTTTTTTTTTTTATCTAAAGACTTTTTTGGCAAGGTAGACTTCTTAAATAATTATATTTGAAAGAAAGTAGCTCTATATAACTATATTCAAAGATGGGCAAATACATAGTGATGGCAGCAAGTTGTAAACAATAGTTAATGAAAAAAATACCATCCTCAAAGGCTTGCATACTTATACAATAGATTTTACTTATAGGGACATAGACTGCATTAATCACAGAACTGGAGTTGTTCACCCTAATCAAGGGGGGTAGTATTGGACTCCTTTAGCTCATGGCACAAACTCAAGGGTTGAGAATTTCAAAGGTAAGCCTGCAGGCATAACTTGCTTTCTGGCAGTAAAGATTATAGATCAGTATTAATTGAGTAAGACCCACTGACTGTTCCAGCATTGTGATCCTTTTCTCAAAATATTTTATGAAAAAAAAAAAAAAGAAGATTGGTTACACTCTTCCCTTGATCCTCTTTTAGTTCAGTATGAACCTGCCCTTTAGTGCTTGATATGGGGCTGAACTGTAAGAGACCATAACCTCATTGTAATAAACCCTATTTATAGTAAACCCCTGCTTTTAACCATCCCAGTAGTAGGAATGGGATTTTTTTTTTTGTTTACGTTTTTATGATGATGCAGCAAATTGACTAACTCTTTTACTGCAAACACTCTTTTAGCGTAGTTTTTCTACTGATTTCATGGGGGTGCATTATGAAAAGGTTGTACTGTACTATATATGTATGTCTCTGTGTGTTATGTCTTAGTTTGACCAAAATTGTCCTTTATAAATAAAATGTTGTTTAAAAATAGAAAACAAAGCATTAAGTTCTGGAATATTATTTAGATATAATATACTGTAACAATGAACTGAAAGTTCTGAATATTTACAGTTACAAATAAGTAGGTCTGGGATAGGTAATGGGGGTGGACTGCATAGTTGCATGGGCTGAGCAACACTTGTTAATTTTAGAGTAGTTGAACATTTTTCAAATTGGAAAAATGTGGAACTCTGATGCTGCATTTAACTTATGTGAGTTGGGTCATCCCAGTGAAATCACTGATGTTACACCATTATTAAGGCTTGAAAGATTGGCATTTTATCCAGCAGAGAAAAATAATGTGGTACACCAAGACTGAGCAGGCCTTTCTACAAATATCTTATCTTTTTCTTTTTCTCCCAGTCTTATGTGTACAAGTAGCCACCTTTCTAAAACTAAAGGTAGTATAATATTCAATTTGCATGAAAGTTTTCAGATGTTAATGTTCACTTCATTAGGTTTATTTTGGGTATAATGTAAGGTGATGGCTTGTATGAAACTCTTTAAATTACTTGTGATTGTGTTCTGATATTTTTATTTTTTGTTTAGACGTGGACCTGTTAAACTTGGAATGGCAAAAATTACACAAGTAGATTTTCCTCCTCGAGAAATTGTTACATATACAAAGGAGACTCAAACACCGGTTATGACTCAACCTAAGGAAGGTGAATGCCAACTTACTACTTTATATGATTTTTTTTCTGGTTATAAAAATATATATGAAAACTGTTTTAAAAGCAGAGATGGAGCCCAGTCACTTCTAGCTGATCGTTTTTAAGTTTTAAAAAGGTAATAGAAGAAGGTATGGTTTGATTTGTAGAAGAATTGATTTCTTTAATTTGTGTTGAGTTCATAGACCTCTTGCCTACTGCATAGTCTTAGTTTCTCTTATTAACAATACTTATTTTCTGCTCCCCAGTAAACAGCTGTGTTATTTTCTTATTTAGAAAAAGCACCTTAATATATGTGTAGACATGCCCACTAATATGCATTAAACTTATTACCTCTAATGTGAGGTGGGTACTAAAGAAATGCACATTAGGCTGCCTTAATGTGAAGTAATGAATGTGCACAGTTTTTAAGTGGTGCTTAATGTGCAGTAGCCTATTTTACTGTGTGTTAGTCTAATCGCACATTTTTTTACATGATGCTTTAATGCACAGTAAAATAAGTTACTGCACATTAAAGCACATGTGTAGATGTTCCTTGTGTTGCTTAAACAGCAGTATATCCACAAGTATGCGATGTGATCCATATATATGAAAGTAACTATTTGGAGGCTTTATATATTCACGTCTGTGAAGGCAGCAAGTCATAAACAGTAGTTAATAAATAAAAATAAATGTTCAAAAACTTGCATTTTTATAAAGTGGATTTTGTACATAAGGACATAGACTCCCTTTAATCATTGAGAACTGGAGTTGCTCACCTTAACCAAGGGGCAGTTTTTGACGCCCTCAGCTCACGGCACAAACTCAGGTTTTGAGAATTTCAGAGTTAAGCCTTCAAGCATAACTTACTTGCTTGCAGGAAAAAATATCTTTTAACAGAGGTGTAGTTGGTTAATGCATTTGCCTTTGACTATTAGAGACCTGGGAATTAGATCGTAATGGAAATGTTTGGTCTTTAAGCATTCTTAATGAATGCTTGGGCACACTACAGCCACTGAACTGTTCAGTTCTACTGCCCCCAAGTATTACAATGGCTACACAAGATGTAAATTTAACAATACAGTTTCAGCTGTAATTTTGTGCTTCGTATCTTGTTTACTTTTGTCTCGTCATAAGCATCTATAGACAAAAACTGTGGGCAGTGTTTCCTTATTCTTTTTAAATTCAAATTTTGCAAGATTAGTTGTTAAATTTTTCCAAAGTGCTATATGATTTGCCTAAAAATATTTGCTTTCATAGCACTCCGCTGGTGTATATTAGTACGTTATTGCTTATTATTATATGTTGACTGTATGTGCTAAAGTTGCTCACTAGATACGGGAAGTGGGAGTGGGGGGAAAAAAACAAATGGGTAATACTTCTGTGTTGAAAGAAGTGTTTTTCTTCTTATCCACAGAATTCCTGCATAGGAGAATCAGTATGCTGTCTCTAGTTGTACACTGTTGGCAGATTTATTAGCTTTTTATTACTTGATAAACCAGAATAGAAGATTTTTTTCCTCTGTCTTATAATACTCCCCTCCCCATAAATTATTTAAACTAGTTTAATATTTGAGGTTATAAAGTAAATAAAATTGTAAATAGAATATGTATTGGTATTTTAGTAAAATATACTGTGCAAGTTGTGCAATGGTTTGTAGACACACTTCTCTCTTTGAATACCCTTTCTATCCCTGCATGTGTGCTGGCTGTATAAATACTTAACATTTCAGTAAGGGGCTTTGTTTTGGCTTGTTGTTTTTTTCCCTTGGAACGCTAGCTAAAATGGAAGCTGAATGCTTGTTTGTCAAGCGCTAGTTCATGGATACATCAGTAGTAACTCAAAGGAATCACTTTGTTCTTCATGAACTTGCCAGTTAATGAAAAGGCTACTCTGCAATTTAATTGTTCTGTTTTTAGGAAATCTCTTCAGTTTCTGTTCTGAGAGAACTTGCAGCAAGTGCCGTCTTGTGGCCGTGATACATTCATATTCTGTATGCATCACGTTGAGCTTGGTGTCTGCTATCAGTATTTTAAGTTCTCAACTGTTGTGGTATCCTGTATTTTGATGCAGTTTGAATAGTTTCTTAAAACTTTTCAGTGACAGAGTAACATACATCTTGCTTGAAATTTTTTATAATTCATTAAAAAAATTAAATCCTCTGAGGGTTGACAGTATCTCTCTGCTGGGGTACTGATGCCATTTTAGCATAGGACAGCTGGAAAAATGAATAGATAAAATAAGTGTGTCATTTTTGCATTGCATTTTTTCATGCAAGTGTTTTGTTTTATTTTTTTAAATAATCCTCAAAAATCCCCTAGTGACAAGTAGATACCCCTAGTTTAAAGACCGTTTCTAACTTCGGGAGTTAGTTTCTTAGAAGCTAGGGAAACGTAGAAGTCATGGAAACTAACTTTTAGGACTTTTATTTATCTTGCATACAAATCCATGGAGTTTGGGCCAGAATTTCAGATGCTTTTGGTTAGTTCATACAAGTTTCAGTATTAAGGAGTGATGGTATAAAATTTTATTTTAGGCATGGGTGGAAAAGGATGTCTAAAACTAGAAACAACTGATGGAGGAGACTAGATAGGTCAGAGCCTTAGACTGACGCTGGATTTTCATGTTTAAGCACTCTTTTTAATGTGATTTGTTTTTTAGGGTTAAATGTAACCAAATTTAATTCTATTCTATTTTCAACACCTTCATGTAATCACTCTTTGCATAAAAAGCTCCACAGCCCAGCCATGGAATGCTGTTTCCTCCTCTGTTATTTGGGATGAATAAAATGAAATATCATCATCATATGCAAGTAGAAAGTTCAGATGATTAGCTCTAGTTTGGTCTTGAATAAATCAACTCTGTTTTCTTAGAGACTAAACTTGAAAAATTAAAGACTGCCAACTTAATTCAGTTTTAAGAATGACTACTTTAAAACTAGTATTAACTATACCTGAATTCCCTTGAGTGTTTTGTGGTCTTCTGTATTGCTTTTATATTTCCAAAGATAGAAGATGACTTTTTTTAGTTATTTATATAAAGAAACTGTTCTATAATTGTTAACGGTATTAACAATATCCATGATTAGTAAGAGTGGCAGATAAAATGAAGGTGTACTTAAACAGTTAATACGCTTTTAAAATATATTTGAATGGAACAGGAGCAATGTGTAAGCTGATGCTTCTGTTGGCTCCCATTCTGTGGGAGTTAGGGAAGTCTTAATCACTGGAAAAGAGCATATCGTAACAGCAAGTCTATGGTCTTGCATGCATGGTTCTTAGTTGTTTCACTAACTTCAGTATTTCCAACTTTTGGCTAGTACCTATTCA